GGCCTCCCTCCGTCGCCGGTTGTGTGGCCGCAGCCTGCCCAAAATCTGCTTGTTCTTTTTTTATTATTATTATTTTTTTTCCTCCCCCCTTTTCCCTCTCCAGGATCATGGAGTTTTTGCCTCCGTTTCAGCGCGTGGTACAGCCCGAAGAGATGTGGCTTTATAAAAACCCCTACGTAGAAGTGGATCACGTACCCACAGTCCCCATGTTTGTAAGTTCGGCGGTTTCCTGCATTTACTTCGTTTTTTCTCGAACTATAAAAGATCCTTTTAAAGCACAGCTACTCACCAAAAGACTTGTATTGCGAATGCCTGTAGTTCTTCATGTGTGTCGCTGAAACTGCAATATATTATTGGAAGCTAGACAACATTTACAGTCATTTTTGTCATCTTTGTCATCTTTTTAGGCTTTACCATCTAAGCAACCTTTGGGATTTTAACTAAGTTTATAAAAACTAGTGGGGACTTTCCACTGGTGATTGCAGTCAGCTTCACGTCCCGGTTGCTAGGACCACAGGGGATAGCGGATCTCTCACTATCAGGAAACATTTTGCTTGGAAGCAGCTATTTTCAGCAAAGTTTTACTATAATTTTACTGTGAAAATGTTTTCCCTAGGTCTCTAGGCTCTGTTAAAAGGGTCTAATGTAAAACTGTTAAGCATTGGATTTCAAGTAGACAATAGCCCGTTAAAGGGGTTGTGTCTTCCTCTGAAGTGGGGGTCTTGCGGTGAGATGCTGTGGCTCCTGGCTTGGGCAAGCATCCACTTTCTTAGCAAATACCATTTTTGATTTTCTGCAAGAGGTGGGCACTGAACGCTAAAAGACAGAACCTCGGTGTAGCGTTTGGATTTGGCGGTGCGAAGCATGACGTGTGCCAGACTTAGGTGGTAGCAGACTTCTTGGGAGCCCATCAGGCACACCATGGACGTCCCTGGGTGACATCCCACAGCAGCAGTCACCACCGAGATGGGAATGATAACTGGTTTTCTCTGAATCAGCAGCTCCTGTATTTTTTGCTGACAAAGCAGCATGGGTGTTGCTGACAAAGAGCTAATCCTTGTGCTTGCGGGGATGGGGCGAGTTGAGGTGCTGTGGCTGATGCTGTGAAGGGAACCTGCAAGCAGGAGAGGAGGGAGCTGCGGGCAGGAGTGACGTGAAGCCAGCCAAAGCAGCGCTCTCGTGCCAGAGGTGCTGTGTGAGAGCTTGAGGATGTGCTGGGCTTTTCTCAGAGGAGGGAAGGCTCTGCTGCTCTGCCGAGCGTGTGTGCTGAGTGGGTAAAGCACAGGAAGCAGTGGGATGCAGAGAGGGGCTTTTTGGAGCACTGCATTATTTATGCTGCCTGTTTTGTTGGGTTTTTTTCTCTCATGCTTCGGCACAGGCAGTGTCCAGCAGCCCACAGGCTTGCTTTTGTACATGAGGTGCTGCCATTGGGTGCCAAACGGAGGAATAGCCATGCTCTGGGGAGCAATGGGGCTAGTCAAGGTTCGCTGCAGATAGAGCTGGCGTTGGTTTTGCTTTCTGATAGAAGTGTAGTGTTTGGTTGCTGCTTGGCTTTGGGGAAGGAAAGTGTATAGTCTCTGAGGAATTGCTGTTGTGTTCTGGTGAGAGTGCTTAAATCTGCTTTGCTAACAGACACCTAACAATCTTCTCGTTTTGTGGCAGTTCATCGCCTTTCTGTCTCCCTTATTGCTCATTGTCCTGGCAAGGGCGTTCATGAACGCCGACCGAGAAGACACACGGGAAGCCTGCCTTGGTGAGCTCCTTCTTATCCCAGAGAGCTGCAGTCCCCGGAGGGGTCTGCCCTGATGCTGTGGCTGTGAGCCGGGGGTCTCACAGATGAGTCCTTTTGCTCTTGCTGGGGCACAAGCGTTGTGCCAGGGGTATCAAAGCTGAGCCGTGTGGCTCCAGCTGAAGTTTGAGCACTGCCTGTGCCTGAGTGTGCCTTGAAGCTGCCTCAAAGCTGCACATTCAGGCGGGGACGATGCTGACGTGACCTCTCTGCTCTCTCCTAGCTGCCAGCCTTGCTCTCACCCTGAACGGGGTTTTTACAAATGCCTTGAAGCTCATTGTGGGGAGGTGAGAAACTGGCTCATTCTTATCCGCGCCGCGCTGTGCGGGGAGGGGAGGGGAGGCACATCTGTGCAGCGGTAGGGCTACAATAGTAGGAGTAAGGGCCAGAAGCTGCGCGCTGTGCGGGGAGGGGAGGGGAGGCACATCTGTGCAGCGGTAGGGCTACAATAGTAGGATAGTAGGAGTAAGGGCCAGAAGCTGGACCTACTCAGCCTGGCAAGAATGTGTTTTTTCTAGCTGTAAAGACAAATATTAGAACAAACACTGGCAGGGACCTGCTGTCTCCGGGCATCATTTAGATGGACACGTTCAGGCATGCGCCAGGGAGGAGCGCTTTGGCACGTGTACAGGGAGCGGATGGGATGATTTCATCTCCCCGGACCGGTCAGGGTGGCAAGAAGTTACCTGTGCCGAGTCACAGCCTGAGAGGTTTGCTCTGGTGTGCCCGCAGGCTGTGCGACCGGGGCGCTTTGAGGCCACGTGGGAATTTGGTTCTTGTAAGGCGTTTGCTCCGCTGGGCTGGAGGGGGAGAACCAGCACAGTGCTAATCCTCAGGGGCTAAACAGGGTCCTGCCTGAGCGGCGGTGGGCCGGTGAGGGTGCGCTGCTGCAGCCTGGCTCTTGTCTGCCAAGCCCTGCCTGCCCAGGCAGGAGCGGAGCTGGGTGCGACGCTCAGTTTTGCATTTCTCACAGCCTGGATCGCGCCGCCTTCCCTTTGCAGAAGGGAGGGAGCTGTGCGAGGTGGCTGGTGGCTGCATTTGGATGTGGGTGCTCCGTGGGAGGGCTGGGTGCTCAGGTGTCTCCTGAGCGCTGTGCTGGGAGCGCTGCACACCCAAGCACTATGTGCTTTGTTCTCTGCCCTAGGCCACGGCCGGATTTCTTCTATCGATGCTTCCCAGATGGACGAGCGAACGTGGAGCTGGTGTGCACAGGTGACCCTGGCATAGTGACTGAGGGACGCAAAAGCTTCCCCAGCGGGCACGCTTCGTGTAAGTTTTCCATGTCCCCTCCCCACTGCAGTGCCAGACAATGAACCGTGGTGAGCAGGAGCCTATGGGGAGGGCAGCTCGGGGTTGCTTTCATGCACCCCGCGGCTTTGGCTACATTCATTGGCCTGTTTGGGGGCCTCAACTTTCTCTTTGCAAAGCAATGGGGTGACAAATGTAAAGTGAAGCTGTCTATAGCTCCTGGCAGGAGGGACACCTGCGAAGCACCAGCTTCTGTAGTTCATCTGTCGCTCCCAGGCTGGTGCTTCCCTTGGTTTACGTGGGCAGGACAGACATCCTCTTGCAGCTCCTCCACTGCAGCGGGAGAGAGGGTGAGGATCTGGCTGAGGACCCGCGGCAGAGCCCAGAGCCGTTTCTGAAGCGACATGCTTCTCTTTCAGTTGCCTTCGCTGGTCTCGCCTTCTCTGCCTTCTACGTAGCTGGGAAGCTGCACTGCTTCACTCCCGGCCGGGGAGGCAGGGCTCTGCGGCTCTGTGCCTTCCTCCTCCCGCTCCTCCTTGCCAGCCTCATCGCTGTGTCCCGCACCTGCGACTACAAGCACCACTGGCAAGGTGGGTCGGCGTCCGCCTGCGGACCTGGTGGGGGGCACAGCTGGGTGCCCTGCGCGGGGGCCTCTGAGCGTGGGGAGGGCCCGTGTTTGTGCAGAGGAATTCAGAGTCCATGATGGCAACCTGGTTTTTTTGGTGACTCCTCTGGTGGTAATTTGGTTTGCTGCCTGCAAGGTGATGATGCCTTTCTCTTTGTTTTTGAAATACATGCTGAGCTTAGTTTTATAGCCAAGGGTCAAGTCACCAATCCAGCTCAGCTCTGAGCAGGCTGAAGAGCTGCCTGCTGGAGAATTCACGGGCGAGGATTGTGAGGGTAAAGGGAAGTTAACTCTCCTCTGGTCTTGCCCGCAGATGTGTCGGTTGGCTCAGCGATTGGCTTCGTGCTTGCGTACCTCTGCTACAGGCAGTATTACCCTCCTCTGACGGACTCCATGTGCCACAAACCATTTCTGTACAAATGCAAACAACTGCCAGCGCAGCAAGAAAAGCCTGCAGCTTCCAGCTTTCACCTAGATGTATAGTGATGGGCTCTGTCCTGCCAGCACCTTTCCTGCTGCTCCTTGAGTGCCAGGGCAGGGGAAGGCTTTGGGGAGGTTGGTCTGCGAGAAGTGGCTCTAATGAGGATGAACCTGGAACCCAAGCAGATGTTTTCTGCAGTGCTGGTAAGTTGTCCTGCTCAGGGCCTGTGTTGCTTCATTAACCAAATTTTGTAGGCGTGCCTCCCTTTGGGCCCGCTGCAAAGCGAGCGAGGCATTCGGCGTGCAAGCCTGCAGGAGGACAGCCTGGGTACGAAAGGTCCTGAAGCAAGAACTAGAAACATGACAATCTGATGTGCCCTGGCCGGTGGGTGTTCTTGTGTCCAGTCCAGAAAGTGCCGTCAGTCGTCTCCCTTCAATCCAGCCGAGCTGTCCCATCCCTTCTCATGGGAAGCGTACATCAAAATGAAGCACAGGACCTGCTCCTGGTGCTGGGTTTAAGTCCGTCTTTTCAATCGCAGCTGAGCTAATTTGGAGTAAAGAGTGTGAGGTTGCAGTCTTTAACCATGGATTAAGTGGGGGAGAGGGAAGATCAAACTAGCATGGTCATTATTTGTGTTACTGTGCTAGCCATGATTTTTTCTAATTTTCCAAATAAAGGAGTTTAATTTTTTTAATGAGCTGTGATACTAAAAACTTTACTTCAAGGACTGAGTTTATTGCTGTGTAAACCATTTCCTTTGGTGCGTCTGCAGGGGTTTCTAGGTGGGTGTTTATTTTGTATGTCTTTCCTTGCAGCTTTAATACGGTTGTAAAGAGATGACAATCAGCAGAAAATGAAATGGTGTCTGAAAGCATCCCTTCAGAGGTGCTTGTTTCTCTACACCGTGGTTTGTTTTCTCAGACAATGGAAGGGTAGAGTGCTGCTGAGCAATCCAAGGCACAGCTGTATGGCAGGACTGTTGTAAGTAGTTATTTGTCACCAGTCTCCTCCATAGATGTCAGTATTCTTACCAAGTGTATTTACATGCAAACAGCAAAGGTGAGGCTGTAGCAGAGCGAGGCACGTGTGCCTCTGCCAAGCTCAGGACATGGCAGTAATGAAAATGCCAGTCCGTCATCTTCAGTTTGGGCCACATAAGCCCTCTATGATCCTGAAACTTCAACAGAAGTTACAGAAATAGCTTTACTTTCCTCTAACATTGAGCACATGTGAATTCTTCAACCCCCTCCTCTCCCCCCAAACATGCACACACCACAGTCATCTACTTAATTTATTTTGGCTTTTGCTGGAAAAGACATTAAATAACATTTAAAATGTAATTAACTTTTTTTTTTTTAAACAAAGTGCATAACTTAAAAAGCTGATCATGAGAGTGTCCCGTGTTAAGACTGTTCCTTTTCCTACTCTTGTAGGAGACGCTTTAGCAATCAGTAGTTCAGGCGCCGACTGAGCAGCATGTCTGTTTCTGTAGTCAGGTAAATGAACAGCTTCAGTTCCTTTGGGATGGGAGGAGGGTTGTAGGCTGCAAACAAAACCTTTCAAATAGTGCAAATAACGTAGTACAACGGAGGACAGACAAACAGGCTGTGGAAAAAAGGCTCCTTACCCCACGCAGGGCAAAAGTCAGTGGGAGGGAAAGTGGTCTGGCTCTTTCCGAACCGCAACGACCTTACGCATCATTGAAGGGTCCGCCTCTGCCTTGCCCCGAGGCTGTGGCCTCAGCCCAGCCAGTGAGCCAGCCTGGGTGGTTTTGGTCGCAAAGGGGGAATCACTGGAGGCTCTCTGGCCCAGTCCCCCTTGGAGCAGAGCTAGCACGCCACAGGCACCTGCAGACTGAACTGCCCGCAGAGCTGGTGGTGTTTCTTCAGTGGGGTCATTGGGACACAGTGTCCAGACCCTACAGATCTGGGCTCCGACGTGCTGGCTGCATTTTGTGTATTTAAAATGAAAATGACTGGAGCCTGGCTGGCATGAGATCCCCGTAGCCACCCTGAAAGCCATGCTGCAGCAGGATGGTAGCGTTGCTCCGTGCCCCTGCAAAGCACGGAGTGCCTCCAGGCCTCCAAGTTGCCTGGACGCTGCTGAGGAGCAGCTGCTTTCCCCCGCTATAGCTGTAGTTTGATCTGGAGGTGAAGCTTTCCTCCTGTATAGTTACACCTGGCCACTAGCTTGGTCCTACGCAAGATGCAGGCAGTGCCTCAGGGAGGCCCTTGGTTTGCCGGCTGCTGCGGGCTGGGTGAGGATGCTGACAAGTCACTACAGCAGGCAGGAGCGCCTGGGTCAAGTGTGCACAAACGTGCCGCTCTGACGAGCTCTTATGGGGCAGTGCTGCCTGGCACAACCCACGGGTGCACAAACCATGCAGCAGCAATTCAAGGAGATGAGAATTGCTCGCTTAACAGCAGGCGCCTGTGCCCTGGGCTTCACCTCCCAAAGACCGCACTCCTTGCGCCTGGTGCTCTCTTAGGGCAGGGAGAAGTCAGCAATCTCCTTCGCTCGACAAGGCTGCTATAGCTCTCTCCACGCTGCGTGTTTAAGGCTTTTAGTCCTCAATGTCACAAGCTGCGAGTTCCCTCACCATGCAAGGAGCAGAGTCAGGCCCTCGATGCCAGCTCCTAGCCCAGACAGCTAGCCTGCTTCGGTGCTAGAGGAGCTAGTGTGGTAATTTAACAAGGTGGAGGGTAAAAAGTACATGTTGCCACAGGGAGTCACAGTGCAAGTGGTGTGTGTGTTTCAGCAGAGGTGTTTTCCCTTGATATTTTTTCCCCCCGCCCCTACCCAAAATGGAGGAAAATCATCTTTATCTCCAGGTAGCAGCAAGTACTTGGGAAGCAGCATGTGGGGGACACAGCAGCAGAGGAGAGAGGAAGGCAGAGAAGAAATCTGGACTTTCCTGGTGAGTACTCGGTTGAATTGGATCTAAGAAAGCAAAAGGAGAACATAGGCACATCATGCCAAGGGCAGACCAAAATCCACCCAGCCCCACCTCCCTTACCCAACTATTACCAGCACTGGGCTTTGAGGGCAAGAAAACATAAGGATGCGCCTTCCCCTAGTCCACCATCAGCCAGCAATTAGCAGCAGAGGGTGAAAGCACCCCTGCGAGAACCGCAGGGCCCACGCTCTGGTTCGCTACCTGTCTATAAGAAATGTTTAGCCTGGGAGGCTTGGAGTACAGCCACACATCTGGTCGTTCCCTTGGTGGATTGAGCTGATCGTAACCGTGCACAGGCGCCGCTGCCCTTGTCGGCAGCAGCAGTTTATTAGCTCTCCTCGGGTCTGATAGTGCTTACGTGCAGGATAAGTGGGAAGAAGCCAAACATGCTGACAGGGCAAAGAAAAAACCCGACACGCTCCTGCCTTAGACACAGGGCTGTAAATAAGGAATAGTACTCCCTCAAATGGACCAGATGCCCTCTGAGGTGTCCTAGGAAATTCGGAAGGAAGGTGTAGGCAAGATGACTTACATCAAGCGGCCAGAACAGCGCAGATTGGTCACTGGCTTCCTGGCAAAGGTTGATCCAGTGTAATGCCTTGCGTCTGGTAGATCTCCTTCAGAACCAGCAGAACGGTGTCTTCCGATTCCCTGGAAGACGACATGGGAATTGGAGGGGGACGCTTCCCTCCACTGTCAGGACATCCGTGATGGTTATGGGATGGATGCAGTGCTCAGCAAATGCAGGCAGTACTGGACTAGGAGAACTACAACGGCTTCCTTCCTCTGTCCCTACCTGCCCGCTGTGCATTGCAGGCAGGAGCATATCTTGCTTACTCAGTTACGGCTTTTCTTAATACATTGACTTTAAAAAATGATGGTGTTCTGCTTACATCAGACATGAATTTGAAGCGTTGATGGTTATGCACAAGCTTACCAATAGCAGAGATGCCCTTGTAGTGCAAATAAATACTCGTTAAAGCTCTCTATTGGCTTCTCCTGCAGCACGTAGTCTATGCGATTCCCTCCGTTCAGCCTCCCCACATTAATAAGGGTGGCCTCTTCCTTCACTGCTGCGGGGGTCTCATCTGGCTTTGTCTCTGAAAGAATGAAGAACAGTATGGTTCAGCCAAGGGGCACCAGCAGCCATGAAATTACAACAGCATCACCGTGCCCTCCCTTTGCCCCACTGTGGGCTCTTGCAGAGCAGAGGCAGCTCAAGTGCTCGGTCCTTCCCCCCCCCAGGGCTCTCTCTTGGAAAACAGTATTGCAAGAGACGGCTAGAGAAGGGTGACAGGCTCGGCAGGCTTACAGAGCGATGTGGTGTGCCGAGACCCCCGGGAGGCTGATACTGACCAGGCAGGTCGCCTCTTCTCCCCCTTCACCAGGCAATAACAGGGGAAGGCCACAGCATTTGGAGAGCGATATGCATCTGCAGCCCAAAGGCAACCCCTTTGCTGAGCACAGAAGAGGGCAGCAGCGCCTGGGTTTGATGCCAGGATGGGCACCTCGCTGGCGTGGCTGCAGGGAGCCCGAGCACGCTGCTCCGTGGGCAGGTCGCAACCCTGCATCCTCGGCTCCCCGCGCGCACCACCGACCTGGCTGCTTCTCCGCGCTGGCCTCTGCCTCCACTTCGGCGTCGGTATTCGCCGCCTCCACAGCTGGCAGTGGGGCTCGAGTGAAGGACTGCCAGGCTACCCGCAGGGATCCCAGCAAGTTGTTCTTCAGGTCCACACTCATGCGAGTCAGCCCTTCTTTCAGCTCTGAAAGGCAGGAGGCGTCGGCATCGGGCTGGGGGCTGCAGCAGCTGCCCAGGCCGGGGGAGAGGGGCTGCCCTTTCCCTTACCTAGGTGCATTCTCTTCCTGCCCTTGTGATGAGGCAGCAGCATGGGCTCAAACTCCAGATCTGGGACGATCATCGGCTCAATCCTGTACGCCACCGGGTCAAACTGTACGGAGGAGGGAGATGGTGAGCCAGGGCTTGTGCTCCACGCGTCTCACGCAGGAAAGCTCTGGCTCTTATACCTACAGGGTGGAAGATGTTGAAGAAGCCTTTGCAGGTGGGCAGGCTGTAGTTTGGGTTGATCCGCTTCACTCCTCGCACCGTGAGAAACATCCCGATGGGAGACCCAAAAGCAAAGAAGATGGTGGGCTTGTAGTTTAGCTGAGGATAGTTTGCCGAGACCTAGGAGAGAGGGAGATTCAGATTTGTTTCATGAGACAAACTCCATGCTGGTGTTACAAGCGCCTTGTTGTTGCAGTTAGAGCATGGTGCCGAGCTCGGTAGTTACCTGTCCTAAGCCAACGTCCCGGTATTGGCAATTCTTGCCATCATCTGTACTGTCTGGGTCACGCTGTGACGGGGACCCAGGCTCAGCTCTGTGCTCCCTGCTGCGCCCGGGAGCTGCTGCTCTCTGGTCCTGCAGCAACACAAACGGGAAACCCCGCTAGTGTGGCTCCTGCAGCGAGCCCACGCCACGGCCCGTCCTACCCGCCCACGAGCAAGTATGCGAGGCAACGAACTGCCCGGCATCCCGTATCCTCCAGAATCAGGGCAGTCTTGGCAGCATCATCCTACTCCAGCCACCCACATCTCTTGCTGGCATCACTAACTTCAGTCTCTACCACTGTTAACAAGTCCTCCCGCTCTGTGATCACCCTTACAGGCCATGGGATAAAGTGCTCCTGCGGTAGGGTAACGCCAGCGTAACGTGGGAGCAGCAAGCAGCTCTGTCACTGCAGCCAAATACAAGCCCGTGAGAGCCGCCTGAGCGAGGGTGGCCAGGAACAAGGAGATCAGGGTGCTCGGGGACTGATCCTAAGTGGTGAAGGCTGGTCCTTGTCTGAGAGCGATGGGATGTGGCCTGGATGAGCACAAGCCGTGCAGGAGACAAACCTGCATCTCCATCTTGGAGCTGATGTAATGAAGTATCTTCATTCTTGGTCCTAAGGGAATTCCCATTTCTTTAAGATTTTTCTCTGTGCACAAGAACTGGAAAATAAGCAACCCAGATGTTAGTACAGGAGCAGAGAGGTGTGTGCGGTGAGGTATTTCTGTTCTCTGTAATTCTGTTCCTGCTGCGCTCCTCGGAGACATTTAATGTGTGAGTGACTCAGTACAGGAAGATGTGTGCTGGGTGGGAGGACTGGGAAGAAAAGCAAAGAAGAAACACAAAAGATGGAAAAACAGGAGAGCTCCTTACCAGTGCTTGCCTGTCCATTTTCTCCTTCTCAAAAACATCGCAATATTCAGACAGCTCCAGCTTCTTCAGGATTTCTTTTACTTCCTCAATACCCCCATTGCTTGAGGCTGTCCTGGACCCCTGTGAATAGAGCCATCAGGGATCATGCTTTTTGCTCACTGATTTTCTCCTGTGCATTTTGGAGTCTCTCCCCCTTCCCCAGGCAGCCACAGAAGCAGGAGGTCAGCGTGACGCTGCACCAGCACAGCTACCCGTGCGAGTGCTGCAGGAGGACCCCACGGGTCCGTGCAGCGCTGGCGAGCACGTACCTCTTCGCTCTGCTCGTCCTCCTCGGGAGCGGCCTTCTGGTTCGTCAGGAGATCGAACAAAATGAGCGACCCTAGAAACCAGGCGCAGGCAGACAGAGCATCAGCATCTCGTCGTGGAAAAGCCCCGAGCCATCTCCTTTCTGAGACAAAAGGCCAGTACCCTCCCTGCTCCCATAGTACGGTGACACTCACGGGACCCGCGGGTGACACCCCTTACCCAAGCTGTGCCCTGCAATGGAGACCCCCCCTTTGAAGAGCGGGTTCCTCTGCAAGAAGAGCTGGTACAGGCGGTTCATTTCGGACGCCACCGTGTCCACGATGGTCTGGCAATAGGTGGAGCTGTTGTAAAAGAAAACGTCCAGGATGGTGTCGTTGATGAAGTGACGCAGGCGATTGATGCTCGGCAAAGTGATTCGCTCCAGGTCACTATGGGGGGAAAGGAGAGGGAGGGAATTGCAGTTAGGGGTGCCGCTAAACCCCACCACGTCTCTGAAGCAAAATCTAAGTTCAGAGGAGGACTGCCACAGTTCAAAGGACGTGATGCTCCCAAGTAGTTAGCGATAGGACAAGAGGAAACGGGCTCAAGCTGCGCCAGGGAAGGTTTAGATTGGATATTAGGAAAAATGTCTTCACGGAAAGGGTGGTCAAGCATTGGAACAGGCTGCCCAGAGAGGTGGGGGAGTCCCCATCCCTGGAAGTGTTCAAAAAACGGGCAGAGGTGGCACTTTGGGACATGGTTTAGTCTAGCCTACCCTTGATGGTTTAGAGTAGACTTGGTAGTGTAGGTTAATGGTTGGACTGGATGATCTTAAAGGGCTTTTCCAACCTAAACGATTCTATGATTCTATGTTGTAATCCAGAGCCTCAGCTCATGCCAAGACCGAAGGTAGAGCACAGCCTGTGCTCTTACACTCCAGGCAGGAGTAAGGAGCCCGGCCTTTCTTACCCAGGAGCCTAACCTGCTCTCTCCCCTTCCTAGGGGGGAGCAGTGCTTGAGTGCAGAAACTGCAGGGTACTCAGTTTCCAGAGGCCTTTAGCAAGGTGTGGATGTCCACGGTCCCTCCTGACATTAGCCAGGGAAAGGCAGAAGCCTCTCTTCTCTGGCTGGATGTTGATCAGAGCAGGCACGTGCTGTGCTCTGCAAAACAGGGCTGCAAAAAGATGGTGGGGACAGGGTCTGGCACGGAGGTGCTCTGCGGGACCCCGTCTGTCCTGCTTACCCCTGCATGCTCACAGCCCTAAACACTCACAGCTTTCCCTTTGCCTGTAGCAGCCACCAGAAAAAGCAGAGTTTACACAGGAGGAGGCTGGCTGTGTGCTTTGCCATTCGCACGGACACCGGCTGTTGGACGTGGCTGTTGGGGATACTTACACGTCCACCCCGGTAGAGTGGAGGGAGCTGTGCCAGTTCACAGGTAGAAACTCCACCCGGCCGATCTGCTGCTGCTCCTGAGCTTTCTTGAAGTGCGCTTGCAGCATGCTCAGGGAAACGTTCCTGAAGTCGTTCACTGGAAAAGAGCATGAACTCTTACCAAGATCCACTGGGCTACAGGGCAAGCCTGCTGCATCAACAACACTTAATAAGATAAAAGAAAAGATCATTACCAGGGGAAATCCCACCAGGGTCTTTAATCTGCTGCTGCTAACCTAAGACCTTGAATCTTTAACTACAAGATCAGGGGAAGGCTCCATGTCCTTACACGTGTGTTTGCTGGATTTTGCTGTCCCATCTGTAACAAGGCTCCTTTCCACATGGGCAGGGCTTTAACACAGCAGTCAGAATAAGAAAGGTACTTGTAGGAATTTAAAAGAAATGTATCTGTTGCAAAGAGGCATGTGTTAGAAAGGGAGTCCTGAGGGAGGAGATGAACTTGAAATTACTCAGTTATGAGGGAGAAAGGCTGATTTCCTTCATTTCAAGTGATCAGCAGCCTTGAAAATAGTTTTATGAGATGAACATATAGAAGAACAGACTGCATTAAAGCAAAGGTATATTTTATAGGAACTAAAGACAGTCTGCTGTGAAAAATCTCAGCTCTTTTGATTTCTACAAGTTAAATCATGTCGGGCTTCCAGGCAGTTTCACTGATCCCCTCTCCTACAGAACCGAAGACTCGGAGCAAATAATAATGAACAGGTCAGACCAGAGTCATTGGTTTAGTACCCTGTCTCCAATACTGATCAACAGCGGATGCTTAGAGGAGAGCGGAAGACCAGCAATTCTTCTCGCACGTCTCCTAACGTCCAGGCATTTGCAGCTTGGGGATTTCCTGAGCCAGAAGCAGCGTCCCTGGTTTTGGTCCAAAATCACTCCAGAGGCTGCTGGATGGGGTGTTGCCTGTTAGACTTCACCCAGTGAGATTAACCCGTAGCAATAGACTGAGCAGGTTACTAATTAGTTTAGCAGGTTTAGACAGTTACTTGGAAAATCTGTATCCGATTTGGGAAACTCACTATTTTGAGCAGCAGCAGAACACAGTGATGAAAAGTGGTTGCCCAAACCTTTCCAGATGGTAGGATTTAATGGGTTAGTGAGCGTTGCATTCATGCTCGCCACTGCAGTCAGCAAAGCTGACTGCACGGCTTGCCAACGTGAGTGTCAGGATGGTTTGAATGCGCTCTGACAGCGTTTCACGTTGTCCATGCAGATGAGGGTTTACTGGCTCCGTTAAAAGCAGCATATGGAAAGAGCACCCCGGCCGGGCTCCACACCTACCGCACTGGATGATGCTCCTGAACCGAATGTCGCACGCTGGGCCGATCCCGTGCACCACGAAAACCAGGTGATCGATTTGCAGCGGCTCTCCTAAGGAAGAAAGAAGAGTTCAGAGCACAGACCCTGCGGGAGACATCACTTAATGGGGAACCGACCCGCTGAAACCACATGCTCTGCAAGGAGAGCGGAGCCTCCCATCCTCACCTCAGCCAGGTAAAAAAATCTTGAGTTAGTGCCTGGATTTTATGCCTAAAGGGTAGTGGGATTTCTCACGTTTCTGAACTGTTTGTCCTGCTAAATTCAGCTGCCCGCCCTGGGATGGATCCAGACCTACAGGACAGTAGAGAAGGGCGAGGCGGCTCATGCCCCTTCTGCCACCATCCTCACTTCAGCGGGAGCGGAGGGTCCGCGCAGTTCACACCTACGCGGCCGTGGGGCACGTTCAGCACAGGAGAGGGCAGGACCAGGAGGACTCGGTCCAGCTGCCCTGTGCTCAGCCCCGGCATTGCTGCATCTCTCAGGTAGGCACCAGGTGGAGTTAGGTCTTGTTCTCTACTTCCCACACGCTTTAGTTTGCATATATACTTTCCTGAAGGCATGCACGCACGGAAAATGAAGGGGTTAGATGGGAGTAACTGCCTGTCCTCACCACAGGGACAAGTCCTGAGGCCTGACCAGGAGCTGTGGGACAGCTGGGAGGGGGCAGAGCTGACGCACAGCTTCAGAGATGGGGAGGGCACGTGTGCCAGAGCGTCACCTGCATGTAGGTAAGTGATAAACCCGTGTCCCTACCACAGAAAGAAACTCCGCCTTTACGGACATACATGCCAAGACCTCGGGTAATTCCAGGCACTGCAGTGCTTTCAACAGCTCTGGTCTCAGTGCAAGAGCTGGAAGCGCTCTGCCTTCTCCCTGTGTGTCTGCCTCCTCTGCACATTCATTTACGCTGCGGGCTCTCTGCTGCTAGGAAGGTTTCTGAAAACCATCCAGTTCATTTCGGCACAAAATTTTTAGATGTGCCTTTCATTTAAAGGATCATGGAAGCTTCCGTCAATCTTTTTGAGAAAATGGGTTGGAAAAACAGACCCTGTAGCTTTGGATGGGTGGAAGGGAGGGAGAAGTGAGCTCACCATTGGGGATCTCGGCAGCGATGTTTTCTACTCCTCTCTTCACGGTCCGAGGTCTACCTTGTTCCGTAGGAGTTGAGCCCCAGTCATCGGAGGTGGCAACCGGATGGTAGTGCACCATCAGCTTGTAAACAAGAAGAGCCTGTTATTAAGCTGCGCTGCATACCACGGTTAATCAGAGGAGAAATTTTGCTGCGACAGCTGGTAGGTGATACAGGGTGGTACCAGACCGCAACGTTTAACCGTGCTGGTACGAGCCCTTTGCACAAAGAGAGTGAAAGGTGTGTTGAAAAGAAATGTTAAGGTGTGAAGCAGAGTCTCTGGTGGCATTGCCCTCTACCCCAGAGCAGGTAGGCGAGGGGAATGCCACTTGGACAGAATAGATTTCTCAGCAGACATGGTTAAAAGAAACAGCATAAAGCCAGAGCATAAGGACAGCCCGTCAAGAGAACCGAAGGGGTGTCCTTGGTGGTCAACACACCAGGCCCTCCTCACCTTTGGGTTGTGCAAGATAATGATTTCCCTGCTAGGGGACTCCAGTTTCTTCTTCCACTCGTCCAGGGTCACAGCAATCATGTAAGCTTCCTGAGGAAAAGAACACCCTCTGTCAGTCAGCTGAAGGTATTGCCATGAATATTCATCCACTTGGGACATTCCCCACCCATTTTACGGCATCTCTTATCAACACAACACACTTTGTGGAAGAGGCAGAGAAATCAGCCAGGTCAAGCTGAAGGAGCAACAAGGTCACCTGAGCATCGCCTGCTAGAGAGTTTCCAAGAAGCCCCCACTTTAACGGCAGCTGCAGTCTTCCCCATCAATTTAGAATTGTATTTTTTGGTACATCAGAATACAGATTATTGCAAAGATGTATGTTTTTCTACAAATATCTATGTATCTCTATGCATATATCTTTCCAAAGAAGAGTTTCCAGCCATTAACAGTACAGACCACTGAAGTCCCTAATGCTACACAGCGTTCAGTGGGTCCCTGTAATGATGATTTCTCTTTCTTGCATCCACAGCTCCCTTGGCTTTGGTGAAACTATGAGCATGGCGAGGATGATTCTCACAAGGGGAGTCAAATTGAAGTTAGAGCAGACAGGGTCAGGAAAAAACCAGAGCAAAGCTGCTAGAGCAAGGCTGCAAGCAACGCCAGAGCCGCACAGCATGCCGAGAGCACCCGGGCACCTAAACGCGTAGCAGAAGGGTGCTGACGCGGCTGGCCGAGGGCAGGAGGAAGGGGAGGCCGCCCAGCTACAGCAGGCTGGGAGGGAGACACTGGCAGCCTTTACAGTTTTGTTAATCAGCTGTGAAAATGCCGTGCCAAAGCCTCTTTCAAGTTCATGTCCTCAGGCGTGACTGTGGTGCCAGTTGCCCAGTAGGAGTTTGGGACATCAGGGCCAGTATTTGACGATGAGAAGCCAAGATGCTTCTTGGCGAGATGGATGCTACCAGGAAAAGCGTGTTTACCTCCAGTTCTTCGCTGAAGGTCTCCGAGTAGGGAATATACTTATTGTCCTTGTCTCCCTTGTAAAACCAGGTGCAGCGACGCACTTCAGATACCTCCTCCTCCCAGTATACTGCGACGCGCTGCCTCTTCTTCAGGTGCACGTCGTACCTACCCCCCGACGTTGGGACAACCAGATCTTCTTTGTCTCTCCCTGCAGGAACCAAGGCCTGAAATTAATCGCGAGAGGACCAGAAAGGCATGCTACCAGAAAGCCGTATGCCGCGCCAGAACAGAGGGATGAGACTCGAGCATCTTCTGCGGGCAGCACGCACGAGCATGCATGAGCAATGGCAGTAGACGCCCATGTTCTCCGTACCCAAGCCCAGAGAACAGCGTCACCGGGCATCCTTGGAGACACGCCCCAAGTCAAACTTCCCCCAGAGGCAGAAGGTAAGGTGAAGGCATTAAGCTACAACTGTCTTCCTCTCTAGGTCAGGCACAGGCTTCCGTGGACTCTTCCTGCCTCACTTAGATGGTAAAATGTGAATTTGTGGCCCTGGGAAGTGCATTGCTTAATGGTGGAAGCGCGGGTCTGCCGGTCTCTGAGCCATTCCCCTCTAAAATGGAGAACTCCGCACAGATCCCGATACAGACTTAAAATTCTGTCAGTTGGCCCTGCCCG